TTTTAGGTTAGCTTGGTGAAAAAAATATTCTAAATAGATGGCACTGGTTTAGATGGGCTTGGTTCCATTTGCCAGGGCCATCTATTTTTCTAAAAGGCCACCTATGTTGAAGGGTGATAATTGACCGTACCTGCCATGTGGATTGCACTTGTTAATTCATCGATCCGGGAGCGATCCGGTCTGTTGACAACGGGCAGGGTCTTTTGATGGGCAAGAAGCAAACACTTTTTGCTTGACTGAAGTATGGCAAGGAGGGGACAAGGCAGACCTCTGGTTTTGGGGCATCCGCCATATCTCCCCCGGCTTCAAGGTCCCCATTGCCTTCCACACGGACGTCAACGAGGCCCTCGCTCGCGACGTCAGAGTTCTGATTGCGTCATTGGGTATACTGATGCAAGGCTGTGCGGACCTGGGGCGGGAAAAAACAGAACAGGAGAGTCGCGCTTGATGGGAGCGCTGAAATAAGCTGCCCAAGCTACAAATAGGGGTACCACTTTCCTTTCTTGGCCCTGAAAAGTGCTCATTCAGGACTGTCACGAAGGGAACTGGCTCTTATTGGCTCTTATTGTAGTACCCAAGTGCACCATGAAGAAGAACCATCTCTTCTCACCAACAAACATTGTAGGAAATCTATACGAAGCAACGAACCCAAAGTTCTCCAAAGGCAATCCTTAATCCTTCCTTTGGGTTCTGTTCGGAGTTGTTTGTGGTGTCCCTCTATATGGCTGTGTCTTTTTTAGAGGACCCTCCAAAATGGATTTGGTGTTCCTTTTGGTTTTTGTTTCATGTACTTGTTCACGGGCACGTATCGTTGCCTGGACGACGGTGCGTGGAACCCTTGAGAAAACCACCGAACAAGAGGTGCCAACTCCGAAAGATGAGGCAGGTACCAACTCCAAAAAGAGATGAGGCACCTGGGAACCACGGCCCTGTGGGGGAAGATGGGCTTGGCCCAAAAGTTGGGCCAAAGATCGGCTTGAGGCCATGGAGAAGGCGATCCTGCAGAGCAGGGCCTCGCTGGGAATCCTTGCGGGGGGGGGGGGGGGAGGTGGAGGTGGGGAGGTGGGGAGGTGGGGAGGTGGGGAGGTGGAAGTATAGGACCACAAGCAGAATCTGCGGGACAATTTGGCGAGTCGCGAGTAAGTTGCGGGAGATCACAAGCAGGATTCGCCGGGTTTCAACCACGGGGTGGTGAATTGCGGAAATTCATCCAGAAACCGCGGGTAAGAAGCCGCGGGTGAATTGCGAGCCTTGCAACCAAAAAGCATATTGCAAGGTTTGCCAGCTTGTTTCTTGATGTTTCCGGGGCTCATCCGGACATGCGTGAATGTGGATGAGAGTGACAGATGTCCTGAACAGTCGAGTCGGGCCATCTTGGGAGATGGCTTTCAAGAGAAGCCATTTCAAGAAGGTTGGTTTCTCTTAGCGGGACCAACATGGAACTGTTGTCCAACTGGTTTTATACATTCCCATGTTTCATCATCCAGGGAGTCAACGTGGTTGGGACTCATCCTCCTCCTTTTCCCGGGCGATTTGTGCCTTGTTTTACATTTGCTGAGATGAAAGCAATAGCCATTGGATGTGGCACAACTTGACTCGCTCAGTAAGAGGGGCGGTTGGGGCGACGCTCATCATAGGGCCTTGATTCATCGGAAAGAAAAGGCAAGTTGAACCCAAGCAGTTGCTCATTGTGTTGAGCCTTTTCCCGCTCATCCCCTGTCGGCCATGTGCAGCTTGTGTTTCCTCGTCAGCAAGCCGGGCTTTCCGTTCATACCTGGTGACTTCACCCTTATGAAGGCAGAAAGACCCCAACAAAGGACAACTGTCTGGTGAGGAAAGGACGAATCTTCCCGACTAACACATACCAGCATTCGCTCATTAGCCGCTCATTGTTGGAAGACCAGTTGAGGTGGTTGGCCTCCAAACTTGTATCATCCACAGCTCTCAAACCAAAGAGAAAGCACATGAGGACTCACCCAACATGCGCGGGGCCTGGCTGAACAATGGTGATTGCAACAACCAGACCTGGGCCCCCTTTCAAAGCAAGCAGAAAATGATGTTCAAACAAACCAGGTTGAGACAAGCTCAATCCCATGCGGTCGGACTAGCTGGCCTCCAGACAAGCGTCATGACTTCCTCCCTGCCCCCTTCCTGTCCGGGTGCTGCCTGTAACATCACTGCCCAAAGCTCACCAAGCGGCCATGTCCTCCCCCGCGTTTCAGGCCAGACTAGGGGAACTTTCACTGTGGCCAAGTCACAATCAAAACCTGGGTAAAAAGAGATGAAGCTAAGTAATAGTCCCAACCATCAATGGGTGCGGCCTTGGTACTTCTTCTTGCGTCGACCATTTTCGTACCACTCGCTTTGGATTTCGCTCTCGGCTCGCTCTAAGAGCCAAAGCCGCACCTCGCTCCTTCGACCTCTTCGATCGAGGCATCCCAGCTGCGACGCGGCCGCCTGCTGCGCCTTTATGGCGTTCTTCATCGTGGAGGACCGGGGGGCGGGTGTGAGGGGCGGACCCATCCGAAAGCTGGGGGTTGGAGCGGTCAGGGAGCTGGGGGTATCACCAAACTTTCTTTTAAGGAGGGCGCCGTCGGAGCTACTGATCGGAGTTCTGGTTAGGGACATGCTAGCATGAAAAAGGAAAAGAAGTACCATGCAGTTCTCCGTTCTCGCAGCTTGCTTCGGAGCCGGAACCTGTAACCAACCTCCCGGCTTCGTATCAGTCCGTTTGACCGGACCATACTCCCAGTTTCTTTTCTATAACGAATGAGTGGCTGTAGTCGTTGCCATTATGTTGCAGGCGCAGCTGCGTCAGTACCAAGGCTCGTTTCCTTTTCGCCGACCTAAAGCACGCATGTGCGGGTTAGTTGGGTATTGTTGGCACGCAGTGGATGCTGCTTAATGACTTCTTTCGGCAAGACCATGCCGTGGCTGTAGTCGGCGGTCTCCTCTTACAAGTTCTGAGGTTTTCCGCAAGGCTGTACGGGGTTTGTCGCAGCAGGTAAATGTCCGGCGCATGGCTGTTCAACGCTTGAACAACGTGCCCTGCTTTCATGAGCGTGCTTTGCATGGAGTTGTTGGGAGATGAACGTTTCGGCCTCTTGTTCTTTGTAGACGACGTTGCCGCGCCGTATCCGGAGGGTGATTCTGTTGAGGCTGTGTTACACCAGGGCCTGGCCAGATCTATATACTGAAGTCGCTTCAATTTCGGTCCGCAGAAAAGCTGCTTCAATGCCCGTGTCACATCACACTCACACCTACAAGCTGTTGGGAGTTGAGGCCGGTAACCAACTCACTTTTGCCCAGCGGTTGGACCGCGTCGCAGTGGGCAAGGCTTTTGAGGAACTGTTCCACTTGGTTGAGAGCTCAGGGGTCTCAATTCCTACTGTGGATGGACGAAATTTGCACCACCTAAGAAACCCTGGAATGATGATTCCTGCTTTCAAAGTGGTGCAGGATTCTGTCCATTCACAGTATTGAAGCCGTGGAGGTCCCAGCCTGTTTCTCCCGCTTGCTGAGAGAGCTAAGGCTCGCCTCTCGCCAGACGCACGTTGGGCACAGGGCTGGCAGCGGCTGAGTGTGGCTGGAGGCTGCGGCTTGGTACCTTGATGAAGGCTGTCACCATGCCCCTCCCAGCCTCTCTCGCTGCGCGTTGACGTACCTGGCCGTAACCATGGCAAGTGGGCGAACTTTGACCGAGGAACTTGGCGAGGAAGCCACCGATGCTGCAACACGGGCGGAAGGTCCTGAAGCGGTCGCAGTGGCAGTAGCAGTCGCAGTACCAGTTGCAGTAGCAGTAGCAGTGGCAGTGGCAGTAGCAGTGGCAGAGCAACAATAGTAGAAGTAGTAGTGGTGGTGGTGGTGGTGGTGGTGGTGGTGGTGGTGGTGCTGGTGGTAGTAGTAGTGGTATAGTACTGTAGTACTAGTAATTTTGTACTATAGTACTAGTAAAAGCAATACCGCCAAATCTGGCTTTTTCGTTCCTGGTTTGTCTAGGCCACACCAAAAGGCAATCACATTGTTTGTCTCAAGACACGGGAACTGCTGAAATTCGTCGGTTTTGATTGGGTTTTCCACTTGAGCACTTCCTCCCCAAAACTCCCTCAACAAGACCCATGTGATTTCCGCTTCCTTGAGGCAAGCAAACCGTGCAAAGTCGGAAAAAACCATGCAAAGTCGGAACAATGGCAGGCAGGCAGTTTGAAATTACTGGGCCAGCAAACCAATGCAAAGTCGCGAAAAAGCAGGCAGGCACTTTGAAATCAGCTTGTCCCCTCAACAGGGAAGCCTCCAAACCGGATTTAGAAGGAGTTTGTTCTTAAATCTTCGTTGAGAACGGACCTTTGCGACTTCTGAGCTGGATCAGTTTGCGAGTTTGCTCAAGTCTCTGAACAATTTCCCTTTTTCCCGGAAAGAGGCGCTGGCAATTTGGGCGCTCCGTGGAGCCCTGTCTTCGGCCTTGCGACTCGCGACTCGCGCCTCGCGAGGCCATTGGGCGGCACCGTAGTGGGAAGCCTCCGGGGGCCGGGCGCCCACCTCCCGTCGTCTTGCTGTGCCTCCCACGAATCTGATGTCAGAAATGATACCTTTTGACGCAGGAGATCAAAAACACCCCTAGTTGATTTATAGGGTGTGTGTGTGTGTGTGTGTTTCTCCAGTTTACAGGGAAGCCTTTACTTGTGCGGCTCATTTGTGGAACTCCCTTGGTGGAAAGATCCATGTGCTCTGTGTCCGCGCGTGCATGTGCAGATATGCTGGGTTGCATTTGTTGGTTGCTCGAGGAAGCGACAGGCAGCTGATCTGGAGACATGTGGCAAAGAATCGTGTCATGGATTCTTTCATGAAGTCGTCACTCAGCTTGGACGGGCTGCGCCTTTGGTTGTGCGTCACTTTGGGAAATGGGTCAAAACAAAACCACCAGGAATTGGACCGCAGGTTTTAGTCTTTGGCAAGCCATGTACGCATTTTTTTTACCCACAGCTTGGGGAAATGCGACAGACCCGACAAGCGGCTGAACCTGAAGGCTTCCGGTTTTAGCAATCAGCGCCATGGCAGATGAGTCCCCGGGCGTGGAGTCCCCGGGCGTTGAGTCCCCGGGCGGCGATTCCCCGCGCTGGTCGAGAGAGACCTGGCAGAAGTAGCTGCTTTTTTCTTCTTCTTCTTTTTTGGTTTCCGGAGCCCCCGCAGATTTGATTCGACCATTGTCTGCGTTCAACCAACATGCCAAAAGGGTGTTTTTTTTTGTTAAGACGCATCCAGCTATTTTACTGCAAACCTTGCATTGCTTTGCTTTCCGGGCTTCCCCTAGCGCTCGAGCCTTCCTGTGGCGCAACAGGAAGAGAGCAGTGGCAGTACTAGCAGCTTTACCAGGACTAGCAAGAAAGCGGGGGTCAACGCAGACTTCATCCGTGAACACAGCATGACACAGGAAAGCGAGACGGCAACGCTCCAGGAGAAGATACGGAGGATTCTGAAAAGCTACGCGGTGGTAAACCTCATGGCCTTTGTTGTTGCGGCAGATAGCTTCCTTACATGCGCATCTGTGGATGCCAGGGCAGCTACAACCGAGCTTCCATACGGTTTCTTCTTCCTGTCCAAGCTGTGCCTTTCCCTGTACACCGCTGAACTCCTGCTTGCCTTTTGCGCTAACGGTCTCAATGTCTGCAAGGAATGGCTGGGGTTGATTGACACGCTCATAGTGGTCGGCGGCTGGGCGGAAGTCATTGTCGCAGCCGCCGTGCACGCAGAGATCGCAGTACCACTTGGCCTGCTGCGAATTTTCCGGCTGCTGCGCATTGTCCGGGCAGTGCAGCTTCTCAGGCGAGTGCGGATGTTTAGGGAGCTGTACAAGCTCATAACGATGATGCTTGGATTCGAAGGGAAGCCACCTTTTCATGGTTGTTGGGAATCATTTTACATGTTTGCTTGTTGTGGTTTAGTGGGAAATCCCTACTTACCTGCTAAAAACTAAAGTTTTGCTCCCCTTCCAACGTCCACCAAGTTTTGGCCTTTTGACCTTTGCATCTTCGATTGGTTGACTTTGAAAGGCGCGAAGAGGTGCCACTTTTACTTTTAGATCGTTCGGGCAAGTGAGGATGGCATCTGTTTTTCGCACCCTCTTGTGGTCCTTCCTTCTTTGCTTCATTGTGATGACGGCCTTTGCCATGCTGATCGTGGAGTTTGTGAACCCGATTGTTATCGATTTGAACGAGAATTTCGGCACTTTCGAGGACTGCAAAGAGTGCTTGGAATCAACGGCAACAGTCACATGGCTGTTGAATAGGTGTGTGGATCCATGTGGGCGTGCCATGTTTTTGGGCTCGATTCAAAGACGAAAGGGACACATCCCCATTTTGAGAGTTCCATATTTGAAGAACCCTTGCGAAGGGGAACAGCACGACCTCTGGCACTGAATGATTCTAGTCTTTTTAAAGGCAAGCCATCGAAAACATCCAGTCTCGATCACATGGTTTTTTTTCCTCCGCTGGCGCTGGCGCTGAGGTGATGGAGGCCAACCTGCTGCTTTTTCAGACGGTGATCGCCGGGGACAGCTGGGGCCAGATCGCCGTGCCGGTGATCCATGCAGCGCCCGCCACGGCCATGATCTTCGTGGGATCCCAGCTGACCCTCGTGTTTGGAGTGCTGAACCTCATTGTTGCTGCCACTTGCTGTGATTCTCAGGGTCCAGGGGAAGGAACTTTTCGAAATCAGAAACCTCGAACGTGTGAAATTCGGGGCCTGGGAATTCTAGCATGCATTCCCCCGGAGAGAAGGGGAACAAGCCTTGCCGCAGCCCCAAGCCAGCAGGCAGCCTTTACATGAGTTGCTGTCCCGCTGAGCACAGAAACGCGAGGATTTCTCAATGGGTTTCATTTTTTTTGATGAGACCCTGACGTGGGCAAGTTAGATATGCAAACAACATCTTGGCATTTCCAGGCAACGTCTGCTTATCTCGCTTTCGGAACGTGCCCAGGTTGTCGTGGACACCTTTGCTGAAGCGAGGCAAAGCGACGTGGAAGCTTTGGCGGAGGACCTGGAAAGCGACCTCCAGACTGACAGGCCCATGACAAAGCGTACCCAGAAAACTGGCGAGTGGTTTCTTTTGCGGGGATGTTTGTGACATGAGCAACTGACAATACCCACCAGCAACAAATCAATATCATCAAACCGATTGCAGCTTATCCAGGTTCGCAGCCTATTTTGCCTTGAAGAGATCTTGGCATTTATGTTTGGAGATGACAATTACACCATCCACTGCTAGTCGGGGGAAGAATTCAAGACCGGGTTGAACGCTTCGTGTGTACTTTGTGTTTTGCATCTTGGCAGCAAAGCTCGAACGCCAGCTGCTTTCCCATGTCTCAATAGGCACGCCCCCATTGCAGAAATTCACCAGCCACCTTGGGCCATTCCCCGGTGTCGCACAGGTTTTGCGGGAGGGCGGAGATGTGCCCGTTGGACTCCAAATTTGGTCGACCCAGGGTTCGCATGTAATTTTGAATGTGCCTCAAGTGTCCCTTGATGTCTTGCTACGTTTCAGTGGTTGCACATGGCCGAACTGCCTGATCCCCCCCCTTTTCCCGACCTGGGGCAAGCCTGGGTAGCAAATGGGAACCCCCGGCAAGATGTCTACCCGCAACAGGGAATCAAACGCCAACATGGTTGCCTTGTTATTGGAAATTCCACCGCTGCCTTGGAATGTTCACGGAGCGGCAGGGGGAACCAATTCTTGCGAACATGTCCTCAAGAAGGTCTCAAGCCGAAGTTAGGCTCAAGCCAAGCCGAACTTCAGCCCATCTAGCCCAAAGCGGCCCAATCAGAGCTTATACATATGGCTATCAGCACAGAACCTGTGTACATTGCAAAAGCTAACAGGACCTAGGCCACCTAGGCTCTGACCGGCTGGGCATTGCTTTTGCCTAACTTGGGCTTAGGTTTACCAAACTGGCCTTTTCAAGGATGTGTTCGCAAGAACTGTCCACCAAATGCCCGCTGGCCCGTTGCAACATAAGCTTCCTCCCAGGTTGCGATTCTGTTGCAACTCTGGGCACCTTCGGGGAATCCCATGCACTGTATCGTGACAAAGTAGTGGTTGAATCCATCTTGGTATCACAGACTTCTTGTTGGGAAGTCTCTGTTTGGGCGACCTTGCCCTACTTTTTGATTTCCCATTAAAACCACCGAAAGCGGTTTCACCAACCCCAAAGAGAACCCAGCGGCACCGGCAGAAACCGAAGCGCAGAAACCGAAGCGCAGGGAGAAGCTCCGAGAAGTCTTCCACCGTATCGACAAGTCCGGCACCGGAGAGCTGAGCCTCAGCGCGCCTCGGCCATGGGCTGCCTGAGGTCCTGGGGGTGTCCATTTGGATTTCAGGTGCCTTGCTCCTTGAAATCCCCGTGTTTTGCCATATTCTTGGGCAATTGGGTTTTGGAGCGACTAGTTTGAATCCCAGGTTTCGCCATATTCCCCTTTGATAATTAGAGGTGTCAGTCTTGCGTCCTGTTTTGAAGTATGCATCAGCCCCAGCAAGCAGCCGGGCAAGACGCTAGTCTCCTAGGCTTGCGCCGGAAAACCTCGAGTTGCACTCGGGGGTGTTTGGTTTGAACGCCCACCAATGCTTGGCAGGGAATGAGACGTGGAATGTCCCGTATAAACCATCCAACTGGTGGTTTCCTTTATTCGGGAATCCCCACACCATTCCCGCATTGACTGCTGCGCACCAGCAAGATTTTGAGCCCGCTTTGTTTGCTGAGGAATGAGGCAATGACCCCAAAGTGAACCTTTGGGTTCTTTAAGGGAATCAGGTTCAGAACTTTTGGGATTCCATCGAAACCTGGATAGGGGACAAGCGCAGCCATCAACAACCAACCACATCCTCGCACCGCCGCACCCTGGAAGCGCTCGCTCTTCCGCGCCGAGGAGTTGATCGCCGGCGCCAAGAACGACGCGGTCTTCCGAAGCCGGTTGAGGGTCATGGACATTGACGAGAATGATTTGCAGCAGTTGCTTGGCACATGGAGCTTAACTGTATGTATGTGTAATATATTATATTATACTATACTGTATTATGTCATGTTACATTATATCACATTACATTACATTGTATTGTCTTATATTATGTTATATTATATCATGTTATATTGTTTGTTATTATATCATATTATATCACATTATATTTTACTACATTACATTACATTACATTGCATTCTATTATATCATATCATATCATATTATATTGTGTTATGTTGTATCATTTCTAGTGTAGTATAGTATAACACAGTGTAGTACACACGATTTACTATCATTTCACTCCCGTGAACATTGAGTTGAACACCATGCACCGTGAACATTTTTTTTTTAAACGTGAAATCAAGATTGCAACTTGAAATAGCTATTGGGAACTTTTGTTTGCTTGATTGCTATTGGATCTGACTTTAGCTTTTTGGTTGACTTCCAAGGGTTTTCCTCATAGGTAGTTACAAGAAGGTAGCCACGTAAAATTCATCCAAAATTGACAGCCTTGTCATAGCCTTGTATTTTTTTGGTAATTGTTGTTTCCCTTACAATAAAAGTATTTTGTGTCTTGCCGGGGAGGTAAACAATTGCCTGGGCGCCGGCTTATGAGCTAAGGCTTTTTCAGATGATCGACATTGACGAGTCGGGTTCGTTGCAGGTGTCCGAGTTTATTGGCCCGCTCAGCCGATGGGCTCGCGACTCCAAGACGGAATCTTGGAGCAATGAGGGATGTGGGGATCATGTAAGCTCAACTGCTGTGCTAAGAGAGTGCCTGCATGGGCGAGCGCGGGTGGGTGAGAGAGAGAGAGAGAGAAAGACCGTTTGTGCACATCAGTGTAACATGTTGTGCACGCAGTGCAGCATGAGAGCCGACCTTTTCACAGGCACCGCGCTTCATCAAGTATAACTTGATGCAGTCAATGCAGATGCAAGAGGAGCGCCCCTGCGTTGTTCGCGTGGCATCTCAGACACACCGTACAAGGTGCTGCGGCAGGGGTCAGATTCATCCTTCACAATCTGGACTACCCTGGGTGTCATGTTCAAAGGGAGAATATGTGGGTGTGGGTCAAAATTAAACCACCGGAGGACCGCAGGTTTTAATCCTGGGTTCCATTGACCGGGGTTCCATTTTGGGTACCCATTTTTGACCCACAGCCATGTGACCCTGCGAAGGATTGCTCCGGGGCTTTTTTGGCCAAGACGAAAGAGGATTCGTTTGCAAACTTCCATTTCTGGTGTTTTCCCCCTATTTGAGGATTCGAGGTCGCAGCTATTGGGGTCAAAAATAGGTGCCCCAAATGGGTTGGTCCAGTAAATATGGGGTCATGGACTAAAACCTGCGGTCCATATCCTGATGCTTCAATGACCCATACCCATTTGGCGTTTCAGGGAACATCTCTTATCTTTGATCCTGCGATCCACATCGACAGCCAAACCGGAGCCCACCATAGGGGCGCTCATATGTCTGGCTTGTGTTGACACTGGCGGACTCAAACTTTTCCTTTAGGACCCTCTATTGGGAAGGTGTTTAAAGCCCGCAGGGAACCTGCTTGACCCCCCAATGTAGGAGAGTTGGAGAAAAAAGCATTGGGCCCCTGCAATTCATGTTGCACCCTTTGGAACCCGCGCAGGCTCTAGAAGCTTTCTTCGGGTTGTCACTGTGAGGGGCTCCCCTTGAAAGTGACACAGCATCTCATTTACATCGAAAATCTGGAAAACGAGGGTTTCCTAAAATAACTAGTTTTTCATTCGAGGGTTTCCTAAAATCTGAAAGCGAGGGTTTCCTAAACGAGGGTTTTTTCCATGTTCTAGGGCAGGGATGGGCAGGCCCACTCGCCCTTTGGCTCCGTCCCCAACACTTTCCCCTAAGGACGCTTGGGCGGCATGCTGACGCCATGCTAAGATCGAACGCCCAAGTTGGCATCACTAAAGGAACTCTTACCCAGAGGGTCCAAGTACCTTCTAGGGAGGTACTTAGAGCCCTTTTTACCCCCCAAAAGCCATCCTCAGGAGGTACTTGGACCCTCTGGGTTAGATTTGGCGAACATCCATTTTTCAGCGGCTTGCCTTTGGTTCCTTTGGTGTCTCCCATTTGGTTCAGCCCCAAAACTTGGGCCACTGGAGTTACGTTTTGGCCCATCGCGCCAGGACCTGCTGGAGCTGTCGGACCGACGCTTCACGCGCTTGAGCACGCAGCTGGAAACCTTGGCCAATCAGCTGTCAGCCGTCACCGGAGGCGAGAGCGAGCCGGAAGGCAGGGCTTGGCTGTTGGATGCACACTGTGGCCATGAACCTTGGTGGCTCCCAGCCATCCGGTTCTTTAGCTTTTTAGCCTTTTAGCTTTTAGTGGGGATGTCCATTTAACCCACTAAAAGTTAAACTTTTAGCGGCGGATCTGAGGGCAGCCCAGTTATGTTTTTCGAACCCACTTCTCAAGTGGATAGACATGAATCGGATTTCGGATGTCCAAAACGGTATGTACAGGCTCTGCACGCCAGCCTCCCATGTCCGCCAGGTCCCCAAACCCAGGAATCCCAGGAATCCACGTTTTGCGCAAGAACCCGGGTCCGCTACTGCGACGCAAGCACAAACAACAAGCAGCTTCAAGTTGCATACCACGCCGCTCTTCTCTGGAATGAGCTTGAGAAGAGCAAGCAGTCGGCGGGTTAAAATTGACCAACTCGAGCGTTTGGCTTCCTTGTCCTAAACCTCCGGTGCCAAATTTGTCTTCGCTGGAGCACTGCCGAGTGTCTAATCGCGATTGGAGTCAGAGGACTTGGCACGTGGCCGAAGCCAAGTACAACTTTGCGGATTGAACGTGTTTCCCCCGCAAAGGTTGAGAGCCCGTTGAAAGTAGAACCAGGGCTTGATTCATGGGTGAAGAGCTGATTTGTTTGGCTTGAGATGGACAGTGTCTCATGGGAAACGAAAACGAAGCCAGCGTGAGTTCGACTGACTTAGTGACTCCCCAGAAATTGTCTGTATTTCTAGGAGATTCCGCAAACACCATCCATGGGCAGTTCTTCTCCGTGTGGGACAACCCAAGCAACATGTATCTACCTTTTTCTGACTTGTTCTTTGGGGTGGGATGGGGAACGCCTGGTAGTTTGTGAGCTTTGGAACGATGGTAGCTTTTGACCTTAGCCATTATGCTGAGCTGGACAAGGTAAGCAGAAGCCACGGCGAAGGAACCACGAAGTTTGTTCTATGATACATGTGGGGCTGTGCTTTTTTGAGGGTGCCCCTTTTTGGATGGTTTTGCAGGGACACCAAAAGGAAAACCATCATTTGTTGTTGTCTTTTTGCTTGGGGGGGGAGGTCCCCCAAAAAAACATACCCATGTATCGGGCTGCCAGTTGTCCCCTTAGTTGCCTAAATTAGCCTAAAGCACCAGTGCACAATACCCGCGAACATTGCAGCTTCGCAAGGTCTGCTGATGCCTACTAGTAGTGGCGACGATTCCTTCAACACTACGGCTTCAAGCTCGCATGACCAGCCACCTGGCAGAACATCCCACAGAGACCTTGAATTCCCATGAAGAGGGATGTGGGCATTTTCCACTTTCAAGTTGCTGGTGCAATTGGTAGGGAATGAGAAATGGAATGACCCCGAGAGAAACCATCCAATTGGTTTCCCTGGTGGTTTCCCTCAAGACCAGTTCATTCCCACCACATTCCCAACCGCAGCGATCGCAAGCTGTCAGGATCTCAGCGCCGCATGCCAGCGGCCATCCAGAGCTCCTGGAGTCGAAGGATAGCTCCCATTTCGCGCTCGAGTCGCAAGCCTCTAAGCTGAGAATGGGGTGCTTTGGGTTTTGGGATGGAATTCTCCTCGCCTATTGGGCGCACAGTTTTTGCTTCAGATGCTTTTGCTTGAATGGCCCCATGCTTCATGTTCTTGGGCCCTTGGACCAACAGGCGAGCTTGCCAGTTGACATCGACGATCATGATTGTCACTCGCGCAGAGCACCCACACTTGCGCCGTGGCCAACATTATGTTTGGATGGGGAGTGCGGAACATTGCGAGGGTTTCAAGCTGTCAAACCAGGGGGAGTGATGTTTGAACATTACGAGTCTGAGGGTTGCTGGAAAACTGGAACAGCTCTCACTCCCCGATCTTCCAGGCAACCTGACTGCGAGCTAGCCCCGCCAGGTTGAAGCCAAATGCCAGATGTGTCAAACCAGGGGATCCACCCCCATAAAAGAGATGTTCCTCTTGAATTCCTTGTGAACCAAGTTTGAAAGGGTGAGAGAAAGGAATGATAAGGATGCATCCGGATTCTTACTCATGACTCAGAACCTATGGATCCATGAAGCTTCCGGATGCATTGTTATGCCTCCTCCGCCCTTATTATTGGTGATTATCTGGTGGCGGAGGAAGTCACAATAATGTTCTTTCCTTATTCTTCCAATTCCCTTACAAGATTAGGAATGGGGATGAAGATAAAAGATGGCTCTCAGATAACTCGCTCACAAACAGAGCGGAGAGAGGAGTGATAGAGTTATAACACACACGCTCAGGCATGATGGTGCAGATAGGTCGACACAAGTAACAGAAGCAGCTTTGTCGCTGGAGTTGTATTCAGTGTGCGGGGGAATTTGTGGGAAGTCGTTCCGAGATTGGATGTGCAGAACGTAATTTGGACAATACTGACAACAGACTGCACCCAACTGGGTTCCCACTTTTTGATTACCCCAAGATGAACTTAAACCCAGGGGTGGCAACCTTGATGTCCTCTAAAGGGAACCCCCGTCAATCTTGGGGAAGTCAAAAAGTGGAACCCTGTCACCCAATCTAGTGTTTTTGCTTTTAAGGTGTGATTGCAGCAGTTTTTCGCTCCGCAAGCACCTGTTGCGGCTGGGAATGTTGGTGATGTGTGTGGTGGTGCAGAGCGGGCGGGCTGGGGATGCCAGAGATGCTGGCTGGTAATGCAGGATATGCTGGCTGAGCTTTCCCTAGTTTTCCCTTGCTTTCCCTCGGTTTGGCTTGGTTGCCCTTGGTTTCCATTGCTTTGCCTTGGTGTTCCTTGGTTTTTCTTGGTTTCCATTGCCTTCCCTTGCTTCCCTTGCTTTCCCTCAGTTCAGGACAGTCGCTTTCCGTTGATGCCTTGCTGGCTTGCAATGTTTGCAGACCCATCAGGAGGGGCTTTGTGTCATTCTTTGACATTTGGGCGTTGCAGCTATGTAAACTCTTAGGGCGACGGTGGAGCCTTTGACAGGCCATTCACCCCATCCACGTTTGGTTTCTCACATCTTTACCTTCTACGAATATGATGCTACGGAAACCGCATGGAGTCGAACGATCCGGGAATAAGCCACTTGCCAAGGCAACTCACTCGTCGGAGATCAGCCGGAAGATCGAAGCCGCAATGGCGCACATCGACGCGAAGCTGGAGACCTTACTTCACCGAGAAGAGGAGAGGCACAGACAGCCGCAGAGATTGGCAGCCCGGCCCAGAGAAAGGGTGGGGGGCGAAGCGCATAGGTATGCATAGGTGTCCTTCTTGGTTGATTTGGTTTAAACATAGGGCCCTGGTTTACCTGGTGGTTCAATCAACTACCAGGGCCAGGCCATCTATTTTCCACAAAAAGGACACCTATGGCCTATGGCGCCTTTTCGCTGCGTCTCATGCGATTCGTGTCTTGGCTCTGTGTCGAGCTTCCCTGCCTTGGGGATCCGCGTGTCACCTTGCGACCTGGGCGAGTCAGATAAGCCTGGCCCGCCCAGCCGACCCCCGAAGATCACGTTGAGTTGAGCTCAAGGTCCGCAGTGGTAAGCTGGTAAGCGAGCGTCCGCTCACAAACGAGGCCACGCGGCTCGCCTGACTGGCAGGTAGATAGCACAAGGGTTGACAAGGGCTCTCATAAATGAAACGCAGAGTCAAAATTGCCAACTGGGTGTGGCTCAAAATTAAATAGAAGGGGTTACGCAGGTTTTGGTCCATGTTTCCACTTACCAGGGTTCCATTTTGGTACCGGTTTTTTGAGCCACAGCCAACTGTGCTCGAATTCTCAGCTTCAGAGGTTGGAATCCAAAAGCCTCGAGTACCGCACCTTCTCAAGACAGATTTTGTAAACACCTCCAACCGTCAGAGGGTCTCAGATACGCGCCAGAAGGCGGGACTCTTTCTGCGCTGCCTCGGACTGCACGTGAAAAGAACAGTGGGGCAGCTAGCACGCTTTCTCCCGTTGAACCATGCGTTGGCTTTTGTTCAACACCCCTTGGTGCCATTCTAGTTTGTACAAGTTCAGCTCTTGGAGAACTAGGAGATCCCACGAGTAGTGGACAGGAGTCGAGAAATTGAAGCCTCCCTGTCGCGAGGCACGAGGACACTCCAAAGACACGTTCCGCGTGATGTACATGGAGCAGCCATGGCACGTCAACGGGGGTGGCAGCTTAACTTGGAAATGCAGCAATTGGACTGGGCTGTTCAAGTCATCCTCGATCCTTGTGCCAGATGGTTGTGGTTTCATTGCTGTATTGGCCACTACCAATTACGTATAAGTCAGGGGATTCCTAACGGGCTCCAATAAACGGGTTCCAGCTTGCAGCAAAGAACGCCACTATAATTTGTCTAGGATTCTCCTCAGTCTCCACATCCCCGCAAGTTTCCCTTTCGGAAGTCCACAGGTATCCGAAGACATCCCAGTTTTCAGGGTCCTTTGCATGCTCGTTGCGTGATATTTTTCCGCCTAGGTCAAAGTCTAGGTCATTGCTTACAGCCATTTTGCGAGAAACAAAACAACACCTGGGGAACACATTGCACCAGTTTGGACCCAAGCTGACTGACTCGCGCAGCGCTTCTTGGCGTCCGGTTTTCGTCTGTCGTGTCGTTGCACCCCGAGGTAAGCCCCGCTCCAAGGATTCAGAGCGGACACTTGCGAACATTTGATGCGCAGGGACCGATGGACCAAGGGACCTGGGATCAAAGTCGACACCTTTGGACCTGGGATCAAAGTCCCGGTTTGGGCGACTTGACGCATTCTCGCAGCCCTTGGGCTGCCAATGCCATTCTTTTTCAACCGCGAGCCTGGCAAGCCTGAACAAGGTTTGCGATTCCACAGCGTTGGAACCAAAGGCCCGTTGGCAAGTCCCTTTTTTGGCTAGTCAAGCCACGCATTCCTGGCATGAAGCCCCAACGGCTCTCCGCTTGAGGTGCTGGATCCGCTTTAAGCGGATGGCTCATTTCTGCATTTGGATCGAGAACTTGGACCCTGGCAATTGTAGCGGCATCTTATACGTTGGTAATCTTTCGAGGAAGTCTTGGTCCTGATGAGCAGATGCGTATAAGGAAGCCTTGCTCTTGCCAGGGCCACAGCTCGCATTTATCCCTCGAGTGCATTTGCACCACACACCCCAAAGCCATCCCTTAAGGGGAAACCTTGCAAAGGCAAGGCCGTCCATTCCCTGGCCTTTTGGATTCCTAGGGATTTTGTTCAAAGGCACGTGCGATTTTGCGCGTGTGCAATTTTGCCCTTGGAATGTCAGGGCCGTGAATATTGTCCAGTGAGACATCGTGTGAAGATGAAATACGTGGTAAGACATGTATTTCTTGCATCTGTCATTCATTTGTCTGGCTGGCTAGTTGTCTTTCAATCTAGAGCTATCTGCTTGTCTGTGATCTGTCTCGCTATCTATCTGTCGAGTGACCCCACGAATGCAAGCAAGACGAGTTGTTGAAATGCGACCCGCCCAAGTGCAGCGGCCCGGCGTCCAACCCCCCCGAAGGAGGTGACTTCGCTCAGACCCAAGTTCACAGGGCAATGCTTTGCTGCTCTGGCCCAAACCTTGCGCGTTGTTCGCCAATTGTTTGCATGTGCGACGCAGAAATTCCAGAAAGACAGCACAGCCCAAATAGTTCCACCACGGAAGTTCTTGCCAATCTCCATTTGATAGGGATATTTGTAAGATAGAAATTGCTGGTTCAAACTTGTAGTGAAGTGCATGCAGCATATGTTCCGCCAAGACTCGACAGCACAGCTCAATTGTTTCCAGCATGGAAGTTCTTTGTATTATGTTTGTAAGATAGCAACTGCTGGTTCAAGCAGCTAGGCGCATAGTGCTATTGCTATACACATCGATTTGATAATCACGAGACACCCAGGACCACTGGCAGTTTCCCAGTTCCAATTGGGAAATGGGCGAGACAAGCGCACCTAGGCTTGACCAACGCATAGAAGATAAGGCCTGACCTACATGTGGGGCGCGGACTGACCCAAACAGCGCACAGCTTGTCTAGTTACCGAAAGCATGCAGTGCGCCTGAATGCATGTGCGCACGTGTATACATTCACAATGTGTGTGTGTGTGTGTGGGCGTGTGGGCGTGCGTGCGTGCGTGCCTGCGTGCCTGCGTGCCTGCGTGGCGTGCCTGCGTGCGTGCCTGCGTGCGTGCGTGCGTGCGTGCGTGGGTGGGTGGGTGGGTGGGTGGGTGTGTGTGTGTGTGTGTGTGTGTGTGTGTGTGTGTGTGTGTGTGTGTGTGTGTGTGTGTGTCTGTGTGTCTGTGTGTCTGTGTGTCTGTGTGTGTGTGTGTTTGCGTCGCGCGCGGTGTGTGTGTGTGTATACACATACATGTATGTGTGTGTTTGTGCGCTTGCGAGTGTGTATACAGGTGTATATATGTATATATATATATATATATATATATGTATGTGTGTCTATACAAATGAATAAGCAACTGTATGCAGACACATTCATAAGTAAATATACAAATAGAAAAGAAAGCAAAATGAATGAACAAACGCATGAGTACATGAACAAATGAATATAAAAAGAACACAATATCTAGACAAGTGAGTCGATGGATCATATGAATATATAAGCAGGTAGATAGCTAAAAAGAAATATATACCGGGCATTTTGCAAATTCATGGGCTTGCCAGCTGTATGTTCGCGGGCGTGTGGACGTGAGAGTGAACACGCAGATTGGCAAACGTTTGGTCGACCCGACTTGCTCTGCATTGCAGTATGCCACTTTGTATGCCAGACCGCCAGCTACCATGAAAGAACGTGAACATGGTTGGGTAACTGCCTGCATCCCTGCGACGGAAGGCTCCCGTATTTTCCGTCCTACCGCCCATACGGCGTGTGTTAAGATTGGGGGCACTCTTTGTTGGCCTTCAAAGGGAAAGACAAACCCTGCATCTATTTTTGGAAACACCCATATGGTGTGTTTGTGTGGGAGTGTGCTAGATACTCGGACTTATCGGGGTGTGCTTGCCGACGTGCTTTGGCAGTTGGCCGAGCTGCGGCAGGCTTGCACATTCTTAGGGCTTGTCTCGCTAGTGGTGCCGACTTTGCCTATCAACCAGAATAACTTGCTGGTGCTCAGCAGGGAATGTGGAAATGAACCTAGGGATTCCCTCAAAGGAAACCATAGCGGGGATGGTTTATAAGGGTCATTCTCTCATTCCCTGCTGAGCGCCAGAAAGACAACGTTTCACGAAGTTTCCCTGTGTATCATGATGTGTCGTGGTCGCTGACGATGAAGTTCTCTCGCTTTGTTGGACGATGGACTTCTGATTTGATTTGTGCGTGAGAGCTTGGGAAAGGAGGGACCCAGTGCTAAGGACACAGGACACGACATCCTGAAGAAGCACTGAAGGAAAGCATGAATTGCGATCACGAGCGGTCCATTTAAATCCTGTCGAGATTCACACGCGACACCCTGGGCGCGTGGATTTGGTCACAAAAGGTGTGTGTTGTTTATTGCAGGTACCTGTCCCCAGAGCTTCTCCTCGCACTTCCGGGCGCGTTCTCGCCGGCTCCGTGCCCAGTTTCGGGCGGCTCGGCTCGGCTCAGGTGGAGCCCCGGAGCTTCCTGGCGGAGATGGTGGCCAGCTTCCTGGGCAGAGGCTTCCAGGATCGCCTCGGATCGCGATCTTTCTTTTGGTTCCGGCGGGGAGCGGGGGTTGGGATCGTAGGGCCCAAAAGGAAGCGTTTTTTTTTTTTTGGGGGGGGTGCCCCGGGGACTCACTTCCTGAGTTCTTGGCCTTGAGTCACTTGGGTTTGGAACATTTTGGTGCTCAAAAAGTTTGGACGATTTCTTTTTGGCTGTGCACTTCAAAAGAGGCCCAATGTTTCAAAACGAACACGTGTTCGCAATGTCAACAAGTCCAGAATCTGCAGATGTAGGTGTGTTGTTAGGGGACCCCCCCATCCCCGGCCCAAAAAAGTTGTGGTTTTACTGTTTCCCTTAAAAACCATAGCATAGGGGTACCCCAAAGAACCCCCCCATGTTTTCCAGAACGGATCCCTGAAGGATGTCCTCAAAAATGAGACATCCATCAATCGACGAGGGGGCTTAGATTTTGTCCTGGGGTCCCCAACAGAGGAGAACTGGTGGGTTCATGGTGGGAAAGCAAGCAGAATGAGCGCTTCCCCAGTCCCAGTTTTTGTTTCATCTTATTTTTGTTTTTGCAAAAAACGACCAACCACTCAGAGACAAGAACTGACATCCATGTTCGGGGTGGGAAGTGTGACTCCTGTTTTAGGTCGATCAACTTGCCAGGTTTGACGATCGGAGTATGGGAGACAGATGGAGGGGCCCTGTCTTGGGTTTTGGGCCGATACGGGACCCCTAAAGACGTTTGGTTCCCTGTTCCTGTTGGTTTCCCCTTGCCTCGGAGCAAGGGCAATTGATCGTGGAGAATCGCAAAATGGAGGTATTTGACTGCGTGTTTCCAAAGCCGCGAAGCTCCAAAACATGTTTTTTTTTGGGGGGGTTCCCCTTTAGTTGCATTATTTTGAGCTCTCCCCGCGTTGGTCATCTTGCTTGGCTCGCAGTGCCCAATATGTTTAGTGAAGAGACACAAATGTGTCCATTCCTGCAAAGCTTTTGCAGTTATGAAGTACCCACATATTGTATTGTTGGAGGCATACCGCATGTCAGTGAGGGTTCGACTCCCCCACCTTGTGGCCAAAATGAAGTGACGTAGTTCCGACCTCATTGGAAGGGTGCCCTTTTGCCCGGTGTGGTGTCATGCGACCCCCGGAAATCTACGCATGTGAATCTTTGACTTGCATGTTAGGGCTTTGCGTAGCCCCGCTTTGGAGGCAACCTTGCATCAAGTGTTGCATTATGCTTCTACACATGGAACACATCCTCAAAGTTCATTGGACGTGGCTAGCGTCACTTACCAGGGTCCACCCAATTGACTCTTGACACTCTTTTTTTTTACTTGACGCACAGGGCGAAGTGCCACCCAGAAGCATTTTAACGCTTGCCTTGTTCTGATGTCAAGCCCGCCTTGAAAGTGCGACACCTCACCGCTGTTGGCTTCACCGATCCGATCCCCAGCTGTGCGCGGTGCGCGAAATGCCTTCAGAACCTGCCCGTGTTCAAAGACATGGAGGGCACCGGGCTCAGAGGGCTGGAAAGGGGAGCTTGGAGCTTGGAGTCTGACGCATCCAGAGGCCTCTGAGTGCAGTGATCTGGACTTCGCTTGTTGTTTGGAAGCACCGCTTCTGGATGGAGGGAACCCCAAAACAAGCCAACGTAACAAGCCAAGCCATGCATCCGAAACCTGCAAGCGCGCATGGTCATTCGAAACGGACAACCGGAATGAGGCTTCGGCCAAGTGGTGTGAACCATGGCAAAGTGTGTTGGACATACCATATCTTTAGTTCCACACATCTATCTTTGAAATTTGGTTCGTTTCTTTGTCTCTCCAAGGACCCATTTGGACCTGCTTTCGGCGCACACTCCCCCAACTCGTGCATCTCAAGGTTTGAGAATGATCCTTGCAAAAGGGGTTTAGCCCCCGCAACAAGGCATGAACCCGCTGGTCTCTCATCTCCAGCTTCTTTTTCTTTCCTGGTGCTTCCATGTATCGCTTTGCTTTTGCGGGACTCTGTGGACTTTCTTGAGCGCCAGAGCCTGACACGTGGCGGAGACAGCAGCACTCCGGGAGGAGATCTTTGTGAGTCTCAACCTTCATCCGACAAACGTACTTTTGGCCACGTTCTGGTGCGCCCCCTTCGCATCCTTTTGGGGGGGTCCCGGACCCCTAATGTGGGATACCACCACCTGAAGCATGGAGTTCAGCAAACCTGATGCAAATTCCACCGCTGAGTTTTTTTGAGCCGAGGCTGCGGCCGCGCGGACGCGGTGTTCCGCATCACCAGCCTCCTGAAGTGCGAGCCCCCAAGCCCCAAGGCTTCTGGGCTTCTGGGGGGGGGGGGCTCCGGAACGGGCGCTTCTCGAGGCGGGTGGCTGATGTATTTCACGACTTGTGTTGCGTTCATTTGG